CCTTATCCGGTGCTCCTGCCCATGCGCCCGCCGTTTCGGCGGCGGCCGCCCCGGCGCCAGCGGCATCCACGCCTGTCGCAGCCACCGCGGTGAGTCCCCCGGGGGAGCGTGTGGTCGCCTCCGGGTATGCGAAGAAGCTGGCTTCAGAGGCGGGAGTGGACCTGCGGTCCGTCCCAGGGACGGGGCTGGGAGGACGCGTGGTGGGAGCCAACGTGATTGCGGCGGCAGCGGGAAAACCCATGGCGAAGCCCTTGGGGTACCGCTCTCCTCCTGGCTCGGCCACGCCTTTGGCCAAGCGGCTGGCGGCGGAAGCCGGGCTGGATTTGAAAAGCTTGAAAGGTACGGGGGAGTTTGGGCGGGTGACGGCGGACGACGTGTTGATTGCCACGGGGAAGAAGAGCCCGGTCAAGAAGCAGGCAGCGGGCGGGAAGGCCGGGCCGGTCAAAGCGCCCAAACCTGCACCCGGTCCCATGCCCACGGGGACTAAATCCATGGACGGGATGATGAAAGCCGTGGCGAAGAACATGGAGAAGACCTTGGACGTACCCATATTCCGGGTCTCGCGCCTGATCACCACGGACAAATTCGACAAGATGTATGCCGAGGTCAAGGGCCAGGGGGTGTCGGTCTCGGCCCTCCTCGCCAAGGCAGTCGCCAAGACCTTGGAGCGCCACCCGATCTTAAACGCGGCCTACGACCCCGCGGGCGCCATCAAGTACAACCCGGATATCAACATTGCCATGGCAGTGGCCTTGGACGGCGGTCTGATCACGCCCACCCTCCGGAACGCCAACGCCATGGACCTGGTCTCCCTTGGGGGGAAATGGCGGGAATTGGTCAAGAAAGCGCAGGAGAAACGCTTGGCCCCTGACGAATACACGACGGGTACTTTTACCATCAGCAACCTGGGCATGTACGGGGTCTCGGCTTTCGACGCCATCCTGCCCCCTGGACAAGGCTCGATTTTGGCGATCGGCGGTTCGATTCCCACCGTGGTTGTGCGCAAGGACGGCAGCTTTGCCGTCCAGAAACAGATGACCGTGACCATCACGTGCGACCATCGGCACATTTATGGAGCGGACGCGGCAGAGTTTTTGCGGGATCTGGCCGAGCTGATGGAGGAGGACGTGGAGAGCTTGTTGGACTGACATGCCACGGGCAATGTTTAGGGGAGATTTGGCAGGCGGGAGGGACGGACATAACAGTAGCGCGTTTGGAGGGAGGAGCAACGATCGATTATAGATATTGGACGGTAAAAGGTGGAACAGATTTAAGCCGGAGGAGTCTGTCGGCGGGTTTGGGTAGCATTCTTGCGATTGTGAGTTGAGACACGGAACGTGCTCTCGGGTAATACAGGTCCCTCTCTATGTGTCATATCTGTGCTGGAATGTGCGCGTGTGCGTGTGTGGGGTGTGTGGTGGTGGGGCTTAGGTGCGTCAGACGGCGTCAGACCTGGAAGGTGGAAGAGAATGGAGTCCTTTTGCATGTTTTTCTCCGTGTCATTTTGTATCTCCGTCATGCTATCTTTGGCGTACCGTCATGAATGTGTGCCATCACGAGACAAAGGTGGCTCTGCGCGAACACAGCGACGGGTAAGAGAAGAAAAGAAAGACTTGGAGCAGAAAAGGCCTCCTGTGTCGCATAACGTCGCGTATCGTACGAGCCTCGTATATCGTGCTATTGCTTCGTTCTGGTTTACAGCCTTAGACCCCGATGCTCCAAGCAGTCCCAGATTATTGCAGGCATGACGAAATACAGAGGAGAGGCCGGGTGCACGGCCCTCGTTTCTGGTCTGGCTCACGCCGTATCTGACCTTCCTTGCCATACCATTGCCGCATGCTGGAATCAAGACAAGAAGAAAAGGCAAGCCGCCGATTTTCCACGCCCCATGCAAGTCATGTGGGGTGTTGAAGTGTCGATGGGCTCTCTTACATCGAACCCTTGCTTGGACATGTCAGCTTTGGGAATGCCCGGTCCCAACAGGGAAATGCGAGTTTACGAGACGGCCGTGCACAGGGGCTCCTCCTTCGACTTGTCCTCTATAGAAGCCAGACAGTAGATCGTGAATCCTACCCGCGTCCGGTCATCGAGAAGGCGCTACACAGCAAGAGTGGCAAGCACTGCCTGGTCTACCCCGTCTTCCACCCCGTCCCTGCACAGACAGGCCCATTAATTTCGAATTTAAATGCTCTCCCGGCCACACACTGGTATATTCACCACGAACCTTTTTCCACATGACCGAAAGATGAGGCTGTCACGGTTTTGGGACCTCAGATGAACTAAAAAAATGGTGTCGTGACGGGCTCCATAGCTGTCTGCTGAATCAACTCCTTGGAACTGTCGTCACGTTCGTCGCCTTGTCATGTCGGAATAGGAGCGCCAAGGACTTTGTAAAACACGCAGCAATTCTCATGTCTCTGCAGTTCCCACATTTTGTCCTGGCCCGGAGCAAACGACTTCTTCATGGCATTTATTTTCGTCCCGCTTTCCGAGACGACTTCAATGTCGATGCAGATGCACGCACGGCACCCTGATAACGTCACACTGCGTTTTGGCAGCAGCATTTCGAACCCTTACCAACCAGACCATGGACGTCTTTACATCTTTTTCAGATCCATGTTCAGTCGGACGATACGCCGTCCAGCGCTGGTCGCACGGTACGTAAAGTCAAGCATTGATAGACTTCGTGCCTGCTGCTGCAGCTTACCTCCCGCCTCTCCGGTACCCCATAATATTTCCATGCAGGCACAACGCGATTTCCTTTCCTCAAAGCACTACGATTGCTGGATCCCAAAAGATACACACGGAGGCTAAACTCACGGAAATGGGGCTCAAGCTGCCCCCGCCAGGGGTGCCCAAAGGAAACTTTGCGATGGCTGTTAAGAGCGGCAAGATGATTTACTTGTGTAAGTGGAAGAAGGAAAAGCGAGGTTCTGGTAGCGACGCCATCATTGGCACACGCATTAATGGAAATGTAAAGGTTTACTACGTGGGTCAGCCTTCGTCCTCTAATTCAAATTCCTCTATCCTGCCCCTCTGCAGCGGGCCATCTCCCTACGGACGCGAATGGACAGCTCCTCACAGGAAAAGTTGGCGCCGAAGTCTCCCCAGAGGAAGCTCAGGGTGCTGCGAAATTGATTGCCCTCAACCTGCTCTCTTCTCTGAAAAAGGAGGTCGGGGATCTGGACCGAGTACGTCCACATTTTCCGTTTTTTCCGATGGTCTGTTCTTCTCCCGTGTACCGAGTAAAGCGCTCACACTGGCATGCACCTTGATGAGTACCTCGATGAAGTTATTCAATGTGTTAAGGAGGTCAACCCACATTTTCATTCCTCGGTTTCAGGGATTGTGAGGGAGGGATTTGTCAAACTGACGCCCAATGGGCATCGCCTTTTTCCTCAGGTCAAGCGCATTGTCAAGCTGGTAGGCTTCGTCAATTGTGTCGATGGTTTCAGTCAACAACCTATGGTCGTGAACGGTGCCAGCGACTTTTTTGTCCAAGTCTTCGGCGACAAAGGCGTGCATGCCCGGAGTGCCGTCGGCACCAACGCCCTCCCCTTGAACATTCCTGTGGAGATCGAGGCCATCGTGGAGGTAGAAGACTAGGAGAGGGCAGAAGCAACGAGGGCGATGGGAAAGGGGGCAAAACGCGCATCCCCGGGAAAATGTTGCCGCGGGGTCGGGATTTTGATGGCATTGCCGAGCATGCTGGTGTGGAGAAAGAGGCTGTCAGGCAGGGGGAGGGGGGAGAGAGACATGGTCAAGCGCCAGGGCCCTAACGTTTCCCCAAAAGAATGATGAACTGCTGTCGAACAGCAAAGTTATTGACCGTCGAACAGGGAGGAACAAACAAAAAAGCAACGGCTGGACAAACGTCCTAAGTCTCATCACGAGGGACAGTAAAGTCCACGTCGGGTACAGGCAAGACCACCTTTAAATCCGTCCTTCAACTCCGGGTCGCCTAATTCTTCCGTCTCCTTCCCACTGCGCCAGCATGTGAGAGCGGAGAAAGTCGGTGCCTTCGAAGAGACTCTTCCCGCAGGCATCCTTCCACCATGGGCCGTTCCTACCCCCCCTTCCTTCCTCATTCCCTCCCTATTTTATTTCACCCTTTCCACGGCAAAGACAGCATTGTTGTTCCACCTCTTTCCCCTCCACCAGTGTGCGGCATAAAAGGTGCCTATGCCTGACAGTCACACACCCTCGTCCACCGCCTCCCCTCCTCAAGCCAGAGCCAGCCCTTTCCCACGCTCGCACCTGCCATGACAGCTACATATATGCATGTATATATACGGGTATATATATACATATATATACCTCGATAATTGTGTCCATGCCCTCCCCTTCCACCTTTCTCTTTACTCGGCCGCCGGCTCCTCTGCTGGGGCCGCTGCCTCCTCGTCGCCCTCCTTCCCTTCCTCGAACGACAGCTTGATCGCACGAGTCAACTTGGTGGGAGCCGCTTTCAAGGTCTTGGCGAGGCGTGTGCTCGGCTGCTTGAGGGCAAAAGC